CCCCCCCCCAAAAAAAATAAAGATTTTATCTCGACATCCCGACATCCGGAACATAAATGTCCTGAATAAAAGTCAACATGTATTCGATTATTCGATCATGCGAATTGTGTTGATAAATCGTTAATAGTGCACGTCCATTCAAACAAAATTAAAGTATATTGCATGGAATGTTAAAAAGTCACTCTAGATAAACAATAATAGAACAGAGAGACATAATTAAGAAACGGTATACAATAAATCCAGTGCAGCTGGTCACATTAGAGGCATATACATTATCGTACAGATTTTATTTTATGATGAACGGATAATTCAGTATTTGACGTTATATACTTTTATAAAAAAAAAAAAAAAAATTTTTTATCTGAAGATGATTGTACCTATTTTGAAAGATAAAACTGATGCATAACACCTACATGTAACACCAGTCTGTTACCGTAATAAGCCATGATAAAATGTGAGTTTGTTTACGCATATATATAACACTTTGTCATCTAAACAAAACAGCAGCATAATTAATAGGCAATCTGCTAAACATTCCTCTCCTATAATTTGACTCCGTAACTATATTCAAATAACTTTTAATTAAAAGAGGAAATCTGTGTTTCATGAAAAAGCGTCTAAGTAGCAAAATTCACAGCAAACTCAAACAATTCACCAATCGTGAAGAACACAGAGACTGTCACGCTAGCTAGGACTTACCCGCGACTATTCCGATTAGGTCTTTGGCGGCAAGTAAAAAAAGTTCAAATGAAGTTGCTTTGTGTATGTATCACCTTCTTAAATACATATTTCATAATAAAAGCTCAATATACGAATTACAGCTTATAATAAAATTATAGATATTTATGGTAGTATATTTATATAGTAATCGAAACAATATACAAAAATTGAGTTCAATTTCGTATTTTCAAATTTACTTTAGATGTTTTTGCCAAATAACCATAAACATTGTTAATTCGTTTTTATTTCTAGACATTAACTGTTATGAAAAGACACATTCTATGTGTAATTTAATATTTTTTTAACTGCATATTTAAAAAAAAAAAAGGTCTGCAAATAAGCGTTTTTTGTTTGAAGAAGATTGTCTGAAATACCAAAACATGCATGTATTACTTTCCTTTCCATTATTATGAGCTTAACAGTCTCAAATAGCATTATCACTTCACAACATTATACACTGAAATGACATAAAATACTCATTTGTTTGAAAGGTGACTTATACTAATTCTTAAGGTATTCAATATGTCATAAACGATAATCAATTAGGAATATTTTATGAACAACAAATGTTCCTGTTCAGGACTAAGTGTAAAATCTAAATCAGTGAATTTATCAAATAACTATATAGAATACTTATAAAGACGGCAAATGTTCATCCAAGGTTTATTTCTGTTAAAAATCGAGAGGAGGAATAAGTAGTTAATACTGATCAGTTTCCTTGGGGGAATGCAACACAGGGTGAATTTGTTTCAAAAACACTTGGGGTGAACATTTGTCGGGAAGAAATTATCATGTTTTTTACCGTTATTAGCCTTTAACGAAAAGGTTGGCCAAATTATGTTCTTAAAAAAAGAGAGTGCAGTGTTCATGTAAGATGGATTGCCAAGAATAAGTGTTTCCTTTTAAACTGCACCCGAGAAATATCAAGGAAAGACAGTTCCTCAATAGAGATACATGCGATCAAAGTTAGGTTTTGAAGTATTAATATGAAACCGACTACTGTAATATTAATGACAGACTATATATATACACTATTGTTAGGAGACACAACACGTACAAGTGAAAGAGAAATTGAGACTTGATCGTGTAACAGACATGCATTATAGTATATAGTTTTAAATTATCTACAACAGAAGAAACACTATTTCCCTAAAATCAAAAATATATCTCCAAGCTTTTGATAATTAACCGATTCATTTCATGGAATTAAGCCTATAATCTTATACACTCAACAAATTTTGTGTTAATTTCATTGGTGAAATGTTAGACAATATACAGTTCGTGACTATGGCCGAAATAAATTGGCATTCAAACTTCAGGACTTAGGTCTAAGAAAACCTTTTTTGTGAAATCTGATTAACTAATAAAGACCGAAACAAATTTGTATCATTAAAAATCTGTGCGTCCCTGAAGGCTTAACTGAAGAATGTTTTCTTTCTGATTCCTTAGATCTAGCTGGTAACATGTGTCAAAAACAACATTCAGTCACCATACACATGTTATCTGTCAATTTCTTTCATTAAAAATCATACTGTATATTGTATTATTTTATATTGTGTTATTAATATGGAAAGCATTTAAATTATTATCATTATTAAAGATATTATTTGGAATCAAATGTAAATGTTACAAAAACAAATTGTCCACAAACAATTTGGTATGTGCGGACTAATCGCATTTCATATTGACATTGTCTGTTTGTCTTCAACTAACGTTATTAAGGTCATAGGAGTGTATTGATAAACAGAAATAGGAATTAAGTACATCCCTAGTTGAAAATCCAATGAAGGGAGACAGTATCACAATTTCCGCATATTCTAATGTTTAATATTAAACTGATGAATATTGTGTGTTTATTATTGACAGAACAGTGTGTTCTCTTAATATTAAAGTATTTCAAACCAATCCACGCTTTAATTCATTTTTTTTTTATCCATGAGTCACATGTGTTCATTTTTCTGTACTTCAGGAAACCGGCTACCTATTTCACTACTGTGAAGTTTTTCAAGAAAGATAACTCTTCCATGCAATTGGTTTTATTATAAAGTGTCAATTTTTAATCGTTTATAGATAATTTATTTTACACAATTTCAGCATTTATTAAATCGATATACATTAATGCAATACTAATCTAGGGCAGTATCATTTTTATTGACATTATTTTTGCAAAATATTGTGTCTTTCATTTTTTTCTTCAAAATTCACTCCTTTTTACATAAATTTCCATTTAAATTCCTTAAAATTCTGACAACCTGTTTTTTTGTTTGTGGCAGCAAATTTTCTTTACTTCAAAGCAATATAACCACAAAATTTGAAGAAATTCTACCTAGAAATGGAGACACAATCCTCTTACCTTAAGTTGCATTTGTGGTTTCCAGATAGTTACATCTGTATTGGCATTTGATTAGATATATTTATTGTCGTAAGGAATTTGGAGCTTCGATTTACCGCGAATAAAACACTGCCTTGAATATATATAATAATAATCAAACAGATCTTAGTTCTAAACTACAGCTTAAAGAAATTGGATACTCACTGTGTATTTTGTCCTACTCTAGAGAAGTTTATGATATACCTGTATACATCATTCCTACTCTAAAGCACACAAATTACAGTTTTAGTTATTTAACAAATGAAATCCCGGATAGTGCTTGCATGCATATCACGCTAATAAAAACATATTGTGTCAAAACTGAACAGAAAATTACTTCGAATAAATGAGACTTTGTCATAACATTTTTTCCCAAAATACATTTTGCTCATTAGAGCCTATTAAATGAAAGTAAAAGTTCAGAAGGACACAATGAGTTTTACCACACATTAATTACGACAGAACAATTCAGAGATTACAATAAAAGCAGTTTGATTAGATAGAACAATACAAAAGAGAACTAATAGATCAGAGCATGACAATACTAGATTTACCTACATAGAGTCTTCCTGATCACTAAGTATATCGATCTGAGAAAGCGTGAGCTTCCCAGACCGTTTAGTGACCGACATTGTGAGTCTGTCCATTGTAGGTCCCTATAATACAAACAAGTTGCATACATAAATATTGTACCGTGATCCAATAATATACAATTTAATGTGACAGTGTATAATGTACATAAATATTGTACCGTGATCCAATAATATACAATGTAATGTGACAGTGTATATAACGTACATAAATAGTGTACCGTGATCCAATAATATACAATGTAATGTGACAGTGTGTAAAGTACATTTTATATTATTGGATCTCGGTACACTATTTATGTACGTTATATACTGTCACATTACATTGTATATTATTGTATCACGGTACACTATTTATGTACATTATAGACGTTCACATTACATTGTATATTATTGTATCACGGTACACTATTTATGTACATTATAGACGTTCACATTACATTGTATATTATTGGATCACGGGACACTATTTATGTACGTTATACAATGTCACATTACATTTTATATTATTGGATCTCGGTACACTATTTATGTACATTATAGACGTTCACATTACATTGTATATTATTGGACCACGGTACACTATTTATGTACATTATAGACGTTCACATTACATTGTATATTATTGGATCACGGTACACTAGTTATGTACGTTATATACACTGTCACATTACATTTTATATTATTGGATCACGGTACATAAATAGTGTACCGAGATCCAATAATATAAAATGTAATGTGACAGTGTGTAAAGTACATAAATAGTGTAACGTGATCCAATAATATAAAATGTAATGTGACATTGTATAACGTACATAAATAGTGTACCGTGATCCAATAATATACAATGTAATGTGACAGTGTATAATGTAAATAAATAGTGTACCGTGATACAATAATATACAATGTAATGTGACAGTGTGTAACGTACATAAATAGTGTGCCGTGATCCAATAATATACAATGTAATGTGACAGTGTATAATGTACAGCTCGAAGCAGTAATTGTATACTTTAGCAATGTAAACATGTGAATTTATTTATATATGGTAAGATTACACCACGAACCAATTTACATTGCTATAAATTGAAACAGTCATGTGTATACGAGTATGGACATTCACATGTATATAACTATGATTGTGCAAAAAAGTGAACTTACTATACAGTACAGTATCTTGGCGCAATAAAGCAATGTACACGGATATATATACAGTGTATAATTCACTGTGTGGGACACGGTACGTAATAAACCTTTATAAAGCAAGTTGTTGTTCTTCACAATTAATTGGTTTATCTGACAAGTAGTTTCAATCGTTTCATTTCTATTATCCAATTAAAAACAACTGAACATGCAGTTTGGTCTACAACTCTTTGCACATATGGGAATACAGTATAGTGTGTATAACTATACTGTTCTGGGATCTAATTTCAAGCAAAAAAGGTACAGCTGAAAAAGAGTAATATCTGGGCGAGAAAAAAGTCCTATAAATCCACTATTCAGCAAAGAAAGTTATAAAAGGCTGAACAAACATCATGATGATAGAATAAGTGCTTCTCAAACACATTGTAGTAGTCTGTATGTCAATCATGAAGGTAAATTATACAGGTGCTCCTTTGTGATTGGTTATATGTACCAGTTACTAATACAGATAAAGTGACATGCACCAATGCTAAGTATATCTACAAGTGCTATACATGCATTTATTAGTGTAACTACAGCCAATCTTCTAGTGGTTCTACATCAGGAAAATGCTAGATCGGTAAAGAACTGGTTTCTGTTATAATCATCCTTATTCATTTAAATCACTGTGGGATGACAGGAATTTTACAAGAGAAGGAACCTTAACTTCTCTAGTATACGGGAGGATAACAGGGATTTCTCGTGAAAAGGATTTTGGGGAACTGCTGAAATGTAATAAGAGTATCACAAAAGGTTTCTAAACACTTCCTCAACATGTCTGAGTCTACAAGCATTACATAATACTAATGATAATAAACAATTAGACAAAAATAATAAAAACACTTAACAGTAGATCTAGAAACTTTGTTCACAGTGACTTTGGTTTACGTAATGGGAAACAACTCGAACGACACTTGTAGCCATTAAACTCATTCATCCCTGAAGACGCATTTGAACTTAGAACAGTTCATTATGAAAATCTGGGGTGAATGAGTTAACATAACAAGAGATCCCAGAGGGATCTTGGCGACCACCTTTGTACCATCTTCATTAGTTCTTTGTCAGTTCGATCTTTTCTTTTCTTTCCTCTAATTTGTTTGATCGAGTCATGTTAACAGTAAATGCACCTTGAGGTAACTTTTGATCTAAACTTAATACTGATGTGTATGAAAACCAACCTTCAAAGTGAGTTTGTCAGTTCACATATTTACTAGTACAGAACTTAATGTGAAAGAAATAGAATCGATCATAGCAATATGAGAAAGATCTGTTTAGTTCTTCTTTTAATCCATTTTGTTTTTATGATCAATCTCAAAATATAACATGCACAACAAGGGAACAAGGGGAACCTACATTTAAAATTTGAGAAAGGTCCCTCCCGTACCTCCCCGAATAATAGCGATAACAAAATTTCACTATCAAAATCCAAGATGGCTGCCTGCCGGCCATGTTGTTTATCCGATCAGTCTCTAAAATTGCCCTGCACAGCTAGGACCAAGAGGAACCTACATATAAAATTTAAGAAAGATCCCTCTAGTTCTTCCGGAGAAATAGCAATAACAAACTTTCACTATCAAAATCCAAGATGGCTGCCTGTCAGCCATATTGTAATCCAATCAGTCTCAAAAGTTGCCCTGCACAGCTAAGGACCAAGGGGAACCTACATATTAAATTTGAGAAATATCCCTTTGGTACTTCTTGGAAAATAGCGATAACAAACTTTCACTATCAAATTCCAAGATGGCTGCCTGTCGGCCATGTTGTTTATCTGATCAGTCTCAAAAGTTGCCCTGCACAGCTTAGGACCAAGGGGAACCTACATATTAAATTTGAGAAATATCCCTTTCGTACTTCTTGGAAAATAGCGATAACAAACTTTCACTATCAAATTCCAATATGGCTGCCTGTCGGCCATGTTGTTTATCCGATCAGTCACAAAAGTTGCCCTGCGCAGCTAAGGACCAAGGGGAACCTACATATAAAATTTGAGAAAGATCCCTTTCTTGCTTCTTGGGAAATAGCGATAACAAACTTTCACTGTCAAATTCCAAGATGGCTGCCTGTCGGCCATGTTGTTTATCTGATCAGTCTCAAAAGTTGCCCTGCACAGCTAAGGACCAAGGGGGACCTACATATAAAATTTGAGAAAGATCCCTTTCTTGCTTCTTGGGAAATAGCGATAACAAACTTTCACTGTCAAATGCCGAGATGGCTGCCTGTCGGCCATGTTGTTTATCCGATCAGTCTCAAAAGTTGCCCTGCACAGCTTAGGGCCAAGGGGAACCTACATATTAAATTTGAGAAAGATCCCTTTGGTACTTCTTGGAAAATAGCGATAACAAACTTTCACTATCAAATTCCGAGATGGCTGCCTGTCGGCCATGTTGTTTATCCGATCAGTCACAAAAGTTGCCCTGCACAGCTAAGGACCAAGGGGAACCTACATATAAAATTTGAGAAAGATCCCTTTCTTGCTTCTTGGGAAATAGCGATAACAAACTTTTACTGTCAAATTCCAAGATGGCTGCCTGTCGGCCATGTTGTTGATCCGATCAGTCTCAAAAGTTGCCCTGCACAGCTAAGGATCAAGGGGAACCTACATATAAAATTTGAGAAAGATCCCTCTGGTACTTCTTGAGAAATAGCGATAACAAGAATTGTTTAAGGATGGACGACGGACCACGGACGCAGGGTGATTTGAATAGCCCACCATCAGATGATGGTGGGCTAAAAACAGCATCCTCAGACTAAATAAACTATCACAAAAACTTTGTAATAAGCGATACATATTCTTTAAGCTAAGTTATTAATATCTAATAATGGGTCTATCATTTAGGTTTTCAAACAAGACAAAATATTGTATATTTTTTTGAATAGCATGATAAACAACATTCAAAATAAAGATTGACTATAAGTAACTTAACGCATGCAAATCAGTTCTTGGTAAAAGGCGTGGATGGCCGTTCATTCAATCATGCACCCTCAGTGTTTTTGTTCAAAATTTCAGTAAGTGCAAAAGATATTTTCCCAAATACAATCGGGTTCTTTTTCATGCTTCATAAATGAAATAAAAAATTCAAGGAAAAAAAGGTATATCAATGAGTGTGGATTTTTTCTATTATTTTCAAAAGCTGTAAAATTGTACTAAAGGGTAGGAATGTCACTCTATATCAATTCAGGACCTCTATATAAAGAAGACTGCATTCAGGGGATAGTTAGTAACATCTGCTTGTTTTAACACTGCATGATCATCACATTTTTGCCAAATTTTTATTTCACCACAATTTCAGATCGGTGAAAATGTATGCATACTTTTTATCATTATTTTTACCCAGTGTTAAAACATGTACAGAATAAAAATAATATAATTATAATTATAATTAGGCTTACAGGAGGAGCATTAGAAGACCAAGTTGTGCTGCCGATCTTTATGTCCAGACCAAATACATAATCCTTCTTTCCCAGTTAACAATGGCTTTCTTTGAGCTGTGTAAGAATCTTCTATCCCTGCGATCAAACTTCTCTCCTGAATAACTGTTTCGTGTCACTACGTACCAACCCTAAACAATATGGCTAATCTATGCGTCACTACGTACCAACCCTAAACAATATTATGCGTCACTACGTACCAACCCTTAACAAAAAGGCTGATCTATGTGCCGTTTTTGCACTATCACGTTCCTTTGTTTGAATGTTTTCTGGTTGTTTGTTCTTTTCTTGTGGAGGTCATTGAGAATAAGTATGCATTTTTGTATGCAGCTCTGACGTAATTCACATTTATAAACACAAAATGATCACATTATCACATAGTGTCCACTTCATTAAATGTTTATTAAAAGTATTTCCGAATCATCTTTCTAAAATCATAGGCACTTTAATTTGAGAAAGCAACGTCCTTCGAATAAGAATATTTTTCAATTCCCTAGTACAAATCTAAGAGAATAATATAATGAAAAATATTACAGTGTCTGCTTCATCTATTTTTAGCACCAATCCACTCATGAACGAAAAGTCTTCAAATGATCACAATTCCACAACTTTTCCATCCATGATATCTATATATTTTTTTTCTTCTTCTTTTTTGTTACGCAAAATAATTAGCACTGAAGATGGCCGCACACAGCTTTGGATTAAGTTTATGAATGGTCCTTATAATCATCCTCGGGCCAAATTCTTGTGTCTTGAATACAGGGCAACAGGGAAAGCTACCGTGAAAAATTAAACAGAAATATTGTGAGGATAACAAGTCGGTAAATGACCCGCTGTTAGTAAGTATGGTGTAAAAAAGTATTTGTCACAGAAAATGCTCATCTATACTCTATTTATAATGTGCATGTGATATAACTCATTCACCCCTGACATTTCATAATGAACTATTCCAACCTTTGAATTGGAAAAGTTCAAATGTGTCTTCAAGGGTGAATAAATTAAAATGATTATCCAATGAGTGATGATCGATTCTGTCTCATTTATTTACCAGAAAGATGATTATTCTTGAAAATGAAATACATTTGAATTTTAATATATCAAAATCTACCATCACCATTAAGATATCTAGTTTTTTTCAATAGACATATTTTTAAGATACAGGATTTAGCACATGTGAGTAATTTAGTAATAAACAGCTGAAAATATAAAATGCTTTAAGCCAGTGGTTATAAATATACTAATAATAACAATGCTAATTTGAGGTTCCTATATACTGCTTTATCTTATTTGTAGGTCGTCTCAAAGCAGTTCACAAATTATTATCTGTGGTTATAGGCCTTTGCAACCAGCCAATATCTTTCTCAATTTCCTGGGGAGCATACAGACGGCGCTGCCATTTTGGCGCTCACAGCTAGCATTCAACAATTCTAGCACTGCCCAAACACGTACTCATTTACGGCTGAGTAGACTGGAAGTCCTTTAATTCTGCTTCAATATTGTGTCAAACAGTAAACTTTGATATACTTAATACACAGAAATTCTGAATAACTATTTTAAATGAAAACAAATTAGGATTAAAATATTTATAACTGTATCTTTCATATCATGCTTCATTATGTGTTTCATATGAGTTTTGTATATCTTCAGGACATTGTTCAATAAGAATTTTACCACTCCTTTGCAGTTTTATGAGCAGTATCAAAAAAGACAATAACCTAGCTAACACAGACAGTAACATGATTCCCCGTCGAATGACATTATTATTAAATGCCAACCAGATGTGTTTCTAAAGACTACAGTAAATGAAACACTTTTACATGTGTTTTAAAAAGAGCGTGGAGTTCTTATAATTTTACTCAAATGGATCGAAGATTTCGTGATTTAATTGGCAGAGGATTCAATTAAGAAGATATTTTTTTTATTTTCAAAGGATAGTATAACAAGCCATTATATAACCCTTGCTTGCAGCAGGACTTATTCTCTATAAAACGTGTTGTATATCAATATCACTTATTTAATTCATAACACTGATACACTAACAATTACTCAGTTTTCCAAAGAATGCAGAACATGTGTGACCAAGATAACAGCTTGTGATAGCAATGTTAGTGAAAGCTATATCTAAGAGCATAAACACACTACATTTAAAAAGGAAAATCTTCAATTACACATATACAAAATGCATTAGGTATGATGTATATATTACTACCATGTAATTCTGTGTATGTTTAATTTTCTTTAAAAGAATGTACATTAACTCGTTCACCCCTGAAATTTCATCATGAACTATTCCAACCTTTGAATGGGAAGAGTGCAAGTGTGTCTTTAGGGGTGAATGTTATAAAAAAACAATGTAACTTGTGAAAATGTTAGTACTTAAAACATGAACAAAAACTGAAATATGTATCTGTAATTACAGTAATTTTTTCTCCAAAGCATTAAATATATAGATGTAGAATAACGAGATTTACGAGATTTACTCTCTGTGACAATAGATAATTTCAAAAATTAAACCTTTGTTCCAAATAAGTTTTGTGTCATTTTATGACAACTATTCTTGGATAGTCTCATATATTTGCTCTATTCAGGAATAACCATCATATAACTCTAGTATTTTTCAAATGATTTGAACATGAAATATCATCTTAAGGTAAATAACTTTTATTGTAGTGATAGTGAGCGCCACTATCAACAACAAATATTACGAAGCCAATTTTCATTCCATTGCTTGTATAACTAACATAAACCCAACTTGTAAGATTTTTTCCAAATAATGCTTTGACATTTTTTGAATTATTCCTTGCTTTACCGGTAATTTGACCTACATCTAACTAAGCCTGTTGAAATGAACCCCAGCATGTACACAGATTTTTCCTGTTTATGGCATTCGTTGTTTCTCACCCATTAATTTACAAGGAATTTGTCTTTGTAAGCAGCAATAAACAAGCATGTTAACATGTATACAGTATGCTGTATGCCAGCTTGTTTATAAGTAAGTACTAGAAGATTAAGATTTTGGATGGTTAAAATGTTAATTTTCTCCCCTCAGCATAGACATTTAAAGAGTACCGGTATGCCATTTTTATAATTCTATTTGTTTTTCAGTCTTCGAATTTGTTCAGCTTTAAACTCCAATGAAAAAAACAAAGTTATTTTCATTGCCAGTATGTAAATCTGTGCATAAATAAGTTTTTTTGATTTCTTTTAAAAACAGAAGAGCATATCACGGTGACACTGAAAATCGTAACCACACCAAAAATAAAACAGTAACAGTAACGCATACATCTGAAAATGAAATCTCCAGATTAACCATCGGTAAAAAAGTAGCAGAAGTTTTAAATTTACCCGTAGGTGGCTATCCTCCAACGTCTTCGTGATGTCGGTGAAGACCCTAATAATGAGGTCTGGCAGTAAAGCCAGGACGACCAGAAGTATGATGGTCAGCCAAATCAAGGCACTGGACATTGTCTCATAGAACACGAAGAAATAGTTCTGGATGTCCAAAATCATTCTGTTTAAAAGAAATTACAAAAATTATGTTTTATGACAGAAATAAAAGGAATCATCAATATGATGAAAATTATATCTTCACTGCAATGAAGATAACAACCTGATCACTGACCAATCAAAAAGGTTTGGTAAATGGAAAAATATTTACCGTATTTCCCTATTACATGTAACTATTTCTATAAAATAAAACGAAAATAGCATCAAACTTTGCTGTCAATAAAGAATATGCCAGACATGTAATGAGATCATGATCACAGCACAAGACTTGCACATGAAATATACTGTACTTTCTTCTTTTTTTGAAAACATAAATTGACAAACATATAAATAACAGAAATGCTATTGTTTCTGGTTGATTAAAAATTATAGTGTTGATGGATCTATACTCTTTACACAATTTCTGTAAAAGTTCCTGGAAAATCAGAGTGTACCAATTCCTACAGTATTACGGAGAGGTGAGCGAAAAATTGTGATATCTTTTACTTACGGCATTCTGAGACCTGAGTAAAATAATGTCATCGCCGTATTTCCTAGGATGGCTACGAGGTAAGCGAGGAACATGGGTAGGTTCCATGTGTAAGTCATTATCACCAACTGTAAGTATAAACAAAGTTAACGAGGAATGTCAAAAACTATTGAAGTATCATATCAAACAATGGAGACCTAGCTAACATTGACTTAATTTCCCATTAAGATTTATCATACATTCTGCCCTTATCATTCCAAATTTAGTTTTGTGTTTTGTTACAAGTTCTGTGATTGGTTAATAGTAGCACATGTGACCCAAACACATATTTTATTATTTTAAAGCTACGGCTGCTCATGTGGTGTGTAAGTAAATTTCCCCCTGACTCAACCAGATTCAACCCCTATATGATTAACTGTTTTTGTGTTCATACCAAATCCTCAAATCTCATTGGTTGATTTTTGTTCAGACATCAATAACAAATAAGCAATCCTCCCTGTAAGCAACTGATCAAGTGCCATTATTAACTCATTCACCCTTGAAATCATAATGAACTCTTCCAACCTTTGAATTGGAAGAGTTCAAATGAGTCTTCAGGGGTATATGAGTTAACCACACACAGTGAGCAATTTTGTTTTTTACCCTGATTTTCTTTTTTCGATCATTCACAATGCTTTAATACTTAGGCAGATGATTTACTGTAATGAAATGATGTTATATCATGTTTTTGATCATCAATTTTCACCAAACAAATACATTCAAACCTGTTCATAACAAACAGAAGGGAAGTTATTAGACAGTAATATTAATTGACATGATTTGTTACAGAGTTTAATGTTCTGAGACAATTCCTTGTTAGGAGAAAAAAAGTGTATCATTTATATCATAAGTAAGAATTTGTAATAAGTGGTATTTATGCTTGTATCAAAATAGGAGTGTTCTAATCAAGTACAGCAGATACTAGAGCAATGTCTGGTTTGGTTTGTTTGTGTTTTATGTCCTAGTAACAGCTATGGTCATTTAAGGACGTGACAGGTTTTGGCGGTGGAGGGAAGCCAGAGTTCCTGGAGAAAAAACCACCGCCCTATGGCCAGTACCTGGTGACTGCCCCAAGCAGGCCTCGAACCCGGGACCCAGTAGTGGAGGGCTAGTGGTAGCAGAATGTCAGACGCCTTTAACCACTTGGCCAACGCAGCCCCTAGAGCAATGCAAGGTTCGTACAACTTACCTTAAAGTTAACACCCGCTACCACAGTAGTAAACAGGACCGTCCCAAACGCCCAGGTACCAGCAGACTGTAGGTACAAAATTTACATACAGTATGTTTTCATTGACGTTTCCTTCATGAGACCAATAGTTATTACAGTACTCTGAATACTGTATAGGTTCCTGACCAGCTGTCTTGGTGGTATTGTATGATGCCAAATAGGCACCCTGTGTGCTTAACATTTAAGGAAAATTTGAATGATTACATAATCTTCCAAGATTAAAAAACAAGAGGCCCAATGGGCCTGCATCACTCACCTGATAAAAATCTCACACTTGTAACCTAACAAGTTATCTAAAATAAAGCTACAGGCAAAATATCAGTATTTAAAATTAAAATTCATTCAAAAGAACCTATTAAAAGTTTTTAAAACATTTCACTCCTGTGATTGAAAGTCGAACAAGGTCATTATGTTGAACAAATTTTATAGCCTTTCATCTCAGGATGCAACTTGCAAAATATCAACATTCTGGGACCCATGGTTATTCAGAAGAGGTCGTTTAAAGATTTTAAACAAATTTGACCCCTGTGACCTTGAATATAATTCAAAGTCATGCTATTGACTAAATATCAACATCCTGAGCCTATTTGGTTATTCAGAACAAGTTGTTTAAATATTTTGAACATATTTGCTCCTTGTGACCTTGAATATGATTCAAGGTCATACATTTAAACAAACTTGGTAGCCCTCATCTCAGCATGCTACTGGCAAAATATCATCACCCTGGACATTTTGGTTATTCAGAAGAAGTTGTTTAAAGTTTTTAACATATTTGACCCCTGTGACCTTGAATATAATTAAAGGTCATTCATTTGAACAAACTTGGTAGCCCTTCACCCAAGCATGCTACTTGCCAAATATCATCTCCCTGGGCAGTTTGGTTATCGAGAAGAAGATGTTTAAAGTTTTTAACATATTTGACCCCTGTGACCTAGAAAATGGGTGAAGGTTATTAATTTTGGCCAAATTTCATCACCTTAGGCTTTTCGGTTAGCAGAAGTTGTTTAGAGTAAAATATTGACGCCGGACGACGCGCCACGACATCAGCTCACTTGGCACTTCATGCCAGGTGAGCTAATGATAAATAAATAAACAAGAGGCCCAATGGGCCTGCATCGCTCAACTGGTATAAATCTCACACTTGCAACCTTAAAAGTGATCTAAAATAAAGCTACAGGCAAAATATCAGTACATTGTATTTATAATTAAAGTCATTCAAAAGAACCTGTTACAAGATTTTAAAACATTTCACCACTGTTACTTTGAAAGTCGAACAAAGTCATTATGTTGAACAAATTGTATAGCCTTTCATCTCAGTATGCAACTTGCAAAGTATCAACATCCTGGGACCCATGGTTATTCAGAAGAGGTCGTTTAAAGATTTTAAACAAATTTGACCCCTGTCACCTTGAATATAAGTCAAAGTCATTCACTTTAACAAACATGGTAGTCCTTGATCTGACTAAATATCAACATATGAGCCTTTTGGTTATTCAGAACAAGTTGTTTAAATATTTTGAACATATTCTCTCCTTGTGACCTTGAATATGATTCAAGGTCAAACATTTAAACAAACTTTGTAGCCCTTCATCTCAGCATGCTACTTGCCAAATATCATCTCCCTGGGCAGTTTGGTTATCGAGAAGAAGATGTTTAAAGTTTTTAACATATTTGACCCCTGTGACCTAGAAAATGGGTGAAGGTTATTAATTTTGGCCAAATTTCATCACCTTAGGCTTTTCGGTTAGCAGAAGTTGTTTAGAGTAAAATATTGACGCTGGACGCCGGACGGACGCCGGACGACGCGCCACGACATCAGCTCACTTGGCACTTCATGCCAGGTGAGCTAATGATAAATAAATAAACAAGAGGCCCAATGGGCCTGCATCGCTCAACTGGTATAAATCTCACACTTGCAACCTTAAAAGTGATCTAAAATAAAGCTACAGGCAAAATATCAGTACATTGTATTTATAATTAAAGTCATTCAATCATCACCCTGTGCATTTTGGTTATTCAGAAGAAGTTGTTTAAAGTTTTTAACATATTTGACCCCTGTGACCTTGAATATGGGTGAAGGTCATTCATTTGAACAAACTTTGTAGCCCTTCATCTCAGCATGCTACGGGCCAAATATCATTACCTTGGGCATTTTATTTTGGTTATTCAAAAGAAGTTGTTTAAAGGTTTTTTTTAAGACAATTGACCCCTGTGACCTTGAATATAATTGAAGGTCATTCATTTGATAAAACTTGGTAGCCCTTCACCCAAGCATGCTACTGGCCAAATATCATCTCCCTGGGAAGTTTGGTTATCGAGAAGAAGATGTTTTAAGTTTTTAACATATTTGACCCCTGTGACCATGAAAATGGGTGAAGGTCATTAATTTTAACAAACTTTGTAGCCCTTCAACCCAGTTTACTTCTGGCCAAATATGGACACCATAGGCCATTCGGTTATTAAGAAGAAGTTGTTTAAAGTAAATTATTGACGCCGGACGCCGCGCCACGGCATAAGCTCACTTGGCACTTCGTGCCAGGTAAGCTAAAAATCATTTTCGGCAATAATTTGCAAGAATTGTGGAGACATATATTGTTTTCAAAGTTTGTTTGAGATAAAAATCCATGCTAAAGCATGAAAATGGTTTCATGATGCAGATCGACCCTAAAACCAGTTTAACAGACATTAGCAACTTTAAAATTCCTTTTTCTGCTCGTGTTTTTTTACTTTCATTCCCTCCATTTTCATACATTTTTACTGATATACTATAATTTGAATATATGACTTTATTGTGTTGAAAGCTAATGCAAATCTAATCTATGTCCTTACCTTTCCATCTGAGAATATGCTGCCCTCATTCCCAAACACAAAGTACACACCAAAGAAGAACACAGCTCGATGCCATAGACCTACAATAAAGGTGTGTAATCATGTATACATGTACTGGTCGATGCCATAGACCTACAATAAAGGTGTGTAATCATGTATACATGTACTGGTCGATGCCATAGACCTACAATAAAGGTGTGTAATCATGTATACATGTACTGGTCGATGCCATAGACCTACAATAAAGGTGTGTAATCATGTATACATGTACTGGTCGATGCCATAGACCTACAATAAAGGTGTGTAATCATGTATACATGTACTGGTCGATGCCATAGACCTACAATAAAGGTGTTTAATCATGTATACATGTACTGGTCGATGACTTTCTCTCCAATCACAGTTACAGTTTTCTGTAAGCTGAGAAAGTCAGTTGAAGGAGAACACCGTATCAACTGTACCAAGCTTGGTTGATTAACATAGAAATCATGATAAAAAACTCAAAATGACTGAGCAAACGGAAAGTTTACAATTTTTGAATTTCCTGAAATTCTCTTCCAATGCCTTATAAATAAATCAGTTGATATGAATTTAAGTGACGATTTAATTAATAATTATGTTCCTAAAAAGGTTGTTTTCAGTTATCATAAAACTTATCAAGATGCAAACCGTGCATCATGGAATATGTTTAAATGAAACTGTTAAGCATACCATCATAGATATATAAAAGAATCTGATGTATTTCAAACTTCAACTTAACATTCATGTGACAACGTTTATTTGCGGTTTTGATGGTTTATGCAAATTTACAAAGAAATAAACACCATGCGAAATACAGTATAAACATTTGATCATATCTAACATCAATTTAGTATGTCAGTTAAAGGGAGATAACTCTGTATTGGTTGCAACCATGGTAGTACAGCTACAGCAAGCTATGTACAAATTCTGTAGAGATTGTGAACCCACTCAATTATCACATGCTTGATAACTCCCACTATTTTATTGGCCAGATCCTATACACATGACCGGTTTTCTAAAACTGGTGTAGATCAATTTTTCAGGTGAAAAAGGATTTCTAAACATAGCTTTTAGGGGGAATCCCCTTCACATTTGTCTAAATGAACAGTTGTTTGATAAATGAAATATATATTTGAAATATTGTTGTGTGTATAGTTATATCATTGTTAAATCACATAATATAAAACAGTTATGGACATTCATGATAGTTAAATGATCCTCCTATGATATAAACCTGAAATGTGATACTGACCGTAGGCTTTGCTGTAGTCAATGTCACTTTTTCAGGTTAATATCACATCTCATATATACCAAGTAATCACAAAGTTTTTAAATATTTGATAAAACAGAAGAGTTATTCTGAGATAAAAAAGGAAAGCTAATTATGTAACATGATAATTAATATAAAATTTATTATCTTAAAGAAATGAAATAGAAAATAAAAATGAATCATTTAATAACATATTTTGTATGTGCAGAAAAGGTTCAATAATTTAGATTTAATAGTTTGAAGCACTAAAGTGGGAGTTATTGATTTCTTACCTAAGAAATTCCATTTAATAAAAGATTTAAAAGACAAGGCAGCATTCCGGGCATTTTTTCTGCAAAACAAAAGAGGCACATGCGCAGGGTAAAACAACGACTGACGAACACACACACATTATAGGGGTAATAATCATGCTTCTATTTACTATATATCTAAAGACTATAAATTCATCTTAACATAATCTAAGCTTGAATTTAACTCATTCACCCCTGAAAATATATTTGAACTCTTCCAGTTCAAAGGTTGGAATAGTTCATTATGGAATTTCAGGGATGAATGAGTTAAGTACTTAATGTGATGAAATGTTAACTCTCTTTACTGTTAAAATGAAAGACAAACATCAATATTGAGGATGAAAAGTGACTGTGGTTGATTGATTTCTGTGGCAGTATAGCGACAAAACACTGATATGAAGTAGGAAAATGACTTCTGAGTATATCCACAACTAAAATAACAGGCACTAATCTATAGTAGGAAATGTGACTCAAGTCCATTTTTCATTGACATACAAGCTTCGCCAGTTTCACATACATTTGTAAATTTAAGGAAATCTATTAAAGATCCCCTTACCACTACCAAAATCTGTAAGTAACCATTAGCATTTTTTGTCCTGTTTGGCTATAGCTTTGAGAAATTATTTCTTACAAGAAAATCATACTTTGCGGAACTCTCTATGAAAAAATCATAATGCTGAAATAAACTTATCAGTAACAGTATTCCCAGTGTGAAAGTGCAATGGGCCGAACCAGAATTCAAACCTTGGAGCGCCAATCAATATACTGTTGAGCTGATCATTGGTATTACCCTGGTCAACTCATGTTAAAGTTATATACAAAATGAAATTAAGGGGTGATTACTCTATGTAGGGAAAACTACAGAGGAATTAATTAATTTTCTAGTGTTTTGCTTGCAGTAGGACAGGCTTCTTTAACTTAAGGAATGTTTGTAAAACTGTTGCACAGAGGTGCCAGACTCAGTTGTATAGGCAACGCGACTGAAAACCCTTGTGATCCATATTGTAAACTTACATAGACCATTAAGACTACTTTGAATTTGTCCTCAAAATAAATGGAATTTTGTGGGAGAAAATAATGAAAAGTACTATACCTACATCATGTTTCAATCTTAAATCTTAACCAAGTGAAGAACAAATTCCTGAGATCTTAGAATGAGACACACAATACTCATGAGAAACATAGGTATGTTACACTCAATGATGTTTGGAGTATTTATCTCAAAATCTTAAAATCTACGGAAGCAATTCAAACTTTTTTATCAAACAGCTCCAGGCAAAATTAGTCAAACAAATGGAAGTTGAACTGATAAAACAATCATTGTATGATTAAAGTCACAGAAACCATGCCAATCAAAAAGAACTGAACTTAATTAACACAAATATTATTACATGTATTACACATCCGTGTGTACATCTATAAACATGATATGTAAACTAATATTTCACAAAAAATTCGGTGTTTTTCTTTATGGAAGAAAACCCATCTTTGGAATTGGACCAAAATTCAGCTTTGGCCTCAAATATACAGGCTAGAAAACTCTTTCAAGTAATTGGGAAAAGCAGCACCCATGAAATTAAAAGGAATCATTCACTATCCACATAAAAGTGACAGCAAAGGGAGGTAATTTGACATAATCCCATTTTTTTAAATTCAAAAATCAACATTCAGACAAGAAAATACCTGTTAGTCAATTTCTTTAAATTTTATTTTGGGGGGGAACAAAAGTGTAGAGTTTTAGATTTAAGGTTAATACTGATACTGAAGGTGGTAGGGGGAACTGTTGGTGGGGAGGTTGGGGGTGGGGGACTTGGGGAGGTTTCGGGGTGGGGGATGGGGATAGGGAGATTTATGTTGCTAGAACTATGACGTAGTGTAGAGTGACAGGTTAAGGGAAATATGTTAATACTGAAGGTTTTCTGGGAACTGTTGGTGGGTAGATTTGGGGGTGAGGGAAAGGGGTAGGTTGGGGTTGGGGATGGG